TAGAAAAAAAACAATAGCCTTAACTTTTATTAACATAAATTTTATTCTCTCTATGTTGAAACCGTGTACTTTAGAGACACTTTATGGTGTCTCAAAATATAATTTAAAGAAGGACACTGAAATAGCCTAAAGAAATACTCTGTCAATTTCATATTTTTTATAAATTTTGGACATTTCTACAGCTATGCAGAACAACATTCCACATTTCAAAGTAATAAGTAGACAATAGAAACATACAACAAAACAATAATATGTTGTACTACTATATTAATGTTTAAAATATTTATTTCCTTGTTACGATCAATTTAAACATTTTTATTCTTACTTTCTTATATAATTTAACTGTGAGTTATATAATTTAATTAATTTTTCTTTTAATTATTTAATTTACACCGAGCATAATTGTGAAATAGGATATGAAGCCCTTATTCGTCTTCGAGAGCCAATACAGTCGCACCCCCATTTACACGGTTCCTTTTAAAAAACTTATAAACGGGGTTCGACTGTACGTACTTAACTAACAGAATAACACTTTTATAAGTTAATTTTAAATTGCTATTATTTACTTTTTACATAGAAAGCTAAAAATTAGGGTTTCTCTGTGTTATTGTGAACTTGATACAATAAACGATTTCACTCAATCCCTTCAAAGTGTTCACTATATAGAGAGTCATGCTCACTCTCGATATAGCAAACTCATTAATACACTGTTTTACTCGCTGAATTAGTATTATTACTAGTGAGTGGCTGGTGAGTATTAATAAATTGACTTGTCAGTAATTCCCATTGAGTAATTATTGACAAGTAAATTTACTTTCGAGAGAACTTGTTTTAAGGAAAAATATTTTTAATACATTACTTTTTGAGGTTAACGATACGTAAAAATGGAACAATGTCTGATAGAAACGTGTTAAATTAACAATTTGAACACGTTGCTTATTCTGTAGCTGAAATATTAATTTTTACTTTCCTGGCTGTTATATATAACAGAGGAAAAGTATGGCGATCAATCAAAGGCTGACTACCCCAAATTTTTACATTTTTGGATTTAGAGAACTTAAACCGTAGAGATATGCAAATCAATTTGAAGATTTTTTTTTTCTGTATGTACGGACGTTAGTGTATGTATGGTGGGTACGATTTTTTCACCATCTTTAAAGCTTAATAACTCCTATGCATTTTGTCGAAAATTTCGTACATTTTGCAGTGAGATCTGCGTTATTAAGTGGATTGATGCTATTAAATTTTGGTGGTTAAAAATTGAGTAGTTGGAGAGATCGAGGGATTGGTGTGTCGTATCTCGAATAGTGTTGGATTTATTGAAGATTTTTTAGGTATTTATTTAAAATATAATAATTTAAATAGTCCGACTTTTCAATATTATTGTGGTCTCTATTTTAATAAAAGCTAACGTTCTAAGTAATGCTTTATTTAAAAATAACACATAAAAGGAATATACTCGGCCGCATCGTAATTTTTCCTTCATGATACAATCTCCAATACTAAAATTATATATGATTATAATTGTATTCCGTGGTACATACAGACAGATTTTTATGAATAAACTATTCTAGGGATGGTTAACTTGTGACAAAGCGAAAGATTTGACACGCCGACTGGAAGAAAAGTCATTTAACAAATGCATCCCTTCGCATGTTCGGTTTCAATCAGATATGAAGGAAAAGTAACGATACGTCACAGTAGATTTCTCTAATCCTTCTTTATTAAGGAAATTAATTTGACATTTAGCGAAAGTTCATTGTCATTATTGAATGTGTACTTAAATGTAAGTAAATATTTATATAGATATTTATTTATAGATTTTTTTTTCTGTTTCAAACTCTGTTAGTACATTTGCCTAATAAAAATCATATTTTTAATACGTAACATCGCGAACTTTTATAAAAAATAAGAATTTCAATAAGCTATTGTCTCTTTAATATTAAAGAGTTTAAATTATTTACTTATCCAGGGCCTAAAACAAGTGAGATGAAGCACATGCCAGACATAAATGTGGGACCTTCCTTCATTAAAACCCTTGAATTAAATCGATAAAATATATAAAAATCAAATCAGAAATGATTAGTGTAACTTTCCTTACAAGTAACTTAAAATTCTGTGTAGCACCATCTGTTATGAGATTTTATTTAATCTTTTTATATTATTAATTATTATAAAACGGCAGAAAACTTAATTTCGACGGTAGAGTTGCGTTTTATTTAATATATATATAGGCCTATAAATCCTAATAACGAGCAAAATCTTCATTAGTTTCGACTCCACTCGAGATACGACACATGATCTCCCAACCGCCTCGACCTTTAACCTTCAAAATTTAATAGTATTGATCCCTCTAATGCACAAACCTCCCTGAAAAATTTCTAAAATTTTCAACAAAAGGCAGGGGAGTTATTAAGCTTCAAACAGAGTGAACAAAATTCGAAAGGTGTAAAAATCTTGGGAGGGGTCACTTTTTTACCGATCGCCATATTTTTCCGCTCTTATATATTACAGCCAGGAAAGTAATAGCCTACTTTTGCCAAGTAGCCGTGTTTTTCCCTTCTATCTGATTTTGCGTCTAATATACCGTATACATGTCTATTATTATCTAACTTAATTTCAAGTTAATTGATTTCGTCATCATTATCCTCCTACCAAAATAGTCTCATATAAATCAAGTTTTAAACGTAGAGTTTTCCTTGTATTCTTTTGTTAAATTAATTCTCTGCGGGGTATTTAAAATAATTAAATAAAAATCTCATTTAAAAATATGCTTCGTTAAACGATAAGCTCTGTTAAATTGTTTTGGTAGATCAGGACTGAACACATCACTGTCTGTCATTTTACCTTCTTTCTTCTTAAAAATTGGTATTACAGTATTTTTTCGAAAGTAGATAATTTTGTAAAATATTCTAGTAAATAAAAATTTATAGAGTCAAACCTCTATATAATGGCAACTGACGGGAATATGTTGGTCTGAAATTACTGTACATGACCGTTTTTTCAGGTTATATCCTATGTATTTTTGTTTAAGAAAGAAAAGTTATTCTGAAAAATGGCCGCTTTTGGTAGGTGCCAGTTATGGAAAATTCGTCCGTAGTAAACTATACTAAAAATAACTTTATAAACTCGAAATTCATTGCCATTTTTACTTTCTCGGCTGTTATAATCTTGGGGGTCATTTTTTGATCGATTGGCAAATTTTCTTTTGTAACAAAAGGAAAGGAAAATTTGATTTTTACATTTTTGGACTCAGGACACCTTGAAAAGGCAAACGAGAAATGACAAAAAATTTTGGGGATTTTTCTGTGTATATCCATGTTTGTGTATATGAAAGGATGATTTTGTTACCCAATTCGAAGCTTAATAACTCCCGTGCCTTTCGTCGAAAATTTCCAAAATTTTGCAGGAAGATTTAAGTATTGGGGGGGTTGATGCTGTTAAATTTTGGTAGTTAAAGATCCGGAGGATGGGGAGATAAAAGGGATAGTGAGTTGTATCTCGAGTGAAGATCGACTTAATAAAGATTTTACTTGTTATTAGCATTTATTAATACAAGTTTTTATAAAATCATCTGTACTCTCGAAATTAACCCTTTTTACCTTTCTATAATAATTAATTATATAAAAAGTTTTTTAAATAAAATAACAGATGGCGACAATCGCAGTTTTAAATTTTGCTGCTGGAAGAGTTAAGCAACTCGTTGCTGGATATTTTTTTTTCAAATTATAATTAAGTTCTCTATCTTGAAAAAGGTATTTTAGCATGTAGGCACAAAGACGGTCTTTTTCCACGGTCAGTTGTACCGGAGAATCATAGAAATAATAATTTTTGTGTGTATTTACTTTTTATTAAAAAATCTTTTAACCGCAAATGTATTATAAATATCATTTTAACATTTTACTCATTTACAATTATTTATTTGAAAATGTTGTGTCAGACATTAAAAATTCTTAGAAGTTGGCCTTCAAAGTGCATATTTATAAAAATACAGTACACGTGTGTGGGGCGTTTCTTATATAATACGATATTGATAACTGAATAGTTAAATAAAAATGGAACAATTGAGACATAAACAAGCATTAAATTAATAGTATCTTTAAAAAGTTTGATATATTTTTAAAGTATATTCTTAAATTTCTTGTCAATAATCTGAATGCCAGTTTCTTTTGCAAGTAAACCGAACTTTCGATTTTCTGTGTTAATTCCTGCACAAAACCAAATACACGGATATTCCTCTAAACTATAAAAAAATCTCTTCAGAGTGTTTAAACGAACTTCAGTGTATATACAGCTGAACTCTGTTAAAACACCACATAAGTGTGAGTTTGAGTTTAAAGTTTCATAAGCTAAAATGTATATTTAATCAATAAATATAAAATGCAGATTTCTTCTACTTTCAGAAATACCGTGTAGAAATTTATATTCTACATTTATCTGTAAAATTCTTTATATATATTCAAATTACTGTATTTTTATTCTAGGACTAGTAGAGTATTTTTTAAATCAGCTGGTTATAACACCAACTACGTCTATTGTAAAATAATATTACAAGGCTAATGACTCACCTTACTTCCATCTCTTAGAATTTACAGTTGAGGGAGCAAAGATAAGCTAAATGTTGCTTATGATACTTTGTCATTTTATAGTAATTCTAGTATTTTCACCGCACGGATAATCAGAAGTTCGGTGTATATGCTATCGGTATTACTTACCAGTTATTGTGTTAAATTTCTTGCCAATTATTATTTTAACGCTTTAAAAATCAAATGAAAAATATGTTTAAACTCTATTTTTGTTTACGTATATTCTTTATAATTGTAAAAAATTTCGTCCTGAGATAATACGTTACTTGTAAAATAAAACATAAATATAATATATTATGATATTCCAGAAGTATTGAATGATAAATCGCTGTGATTACATAATTTACCCTTGATAACCAACTTTTTATTTCGCTCCTTTTACTCGTACACATACACTACAACGCAACACACTTATTCGTTTGTAGTAGTCACGTGACCGATGTCACATCTCTCTTTATATGCGAAGCATGCTGAGAGTGAAGCGAAGTTGACAAACGTGTGACAAACATGAACGAGGTAGTTAAGGTGATTGTAAACATATTTTACATGTTATATCTCTGGTTAGAGGCGGTAGTGTTGCAGTTTGTACCGAGAAAGCTTCGTTATAAAGAACTGGATGGAGAAATTGTACTGATTACAGGAGGTGGAAGCGGAATAGGTCGTCTACTAGCGCTGAGATTCGCAGGTGTGGGGTGTCGTGTGGTAATTTGGGACGTTAACGAGGAAGGTAATCGCGAAACACAGCAACAGGTGAAGAGCCGAGGAGGTGAATGTCATTCGTATGTGTGTGATGTCACCGATAGAGAGAAAGTTTACGCTGTGGCGCGTAAAGTGAAGGAAGAAGTGGGTCCAGTCACTATACTTGTCAACAATGCTGGCATCGTAACGGGGAAGAATCTTTTGGATATCCCCGATCATCTTATCGAGAAGACCTTTCAAGTTAACGTCATAGCACATTTTTGGGTGAGTTAAATTAATTTGTTTGAACAATATGCGACAATTTTTTGTTTAACATAAAAAAATTAGCAACACGTTTTACAGTGCCATCTTCTAAACGCATGTCATACAATTTTAATAATTAATATTATATACTGTAAAACCTGTTCAAAACGGAACCTCGATAAAACGGAAACCGGCCTAAACGGGATAAATTTTTCGGAACGGAGCGCTTTTCTTTGTTAAAAACCTGTTTAAAACGGGAAAAATATTCGTTAACATGCAATTCCGCTTTACGCAGGCTTTACTGTATTTAATTACATTGATAAATACATTTATGTTTAGCCTACTCCCTCCTTAATTATTTTTTCACTTTGGCAGAATAAAACAACAATGAAAAATAGAAAATTATGCTGTTATGAATTAAAGAAATGAAAAATAAACTACAAATTTGTATGCAATTTATTATTATAGATCACATTTTTTTTGCGAACGAAAGAAGTGTAACAATAAAATATTTTAATACGTTTCATGTAAATATATTGTACAATACAATAAACCTGTGTAAACCGCAATAGCAGGGTAATGAATATTTTTTCCGGTTTAGCAGGTTTCCTTTTTTTGACAGGTTTTCTTCCAAAAAATTCTCTCCGTTTCGAAGAAGTAAAGATCCGTGGGGTGGGGAGATAATTTTTTTTCTTATTTTATAATAATTAATAATGTAAAATTTTTTAAATAAAAATCTAATAAAAGATGACACCATACGCAATTTTAAATGTTTTTGCCGGGAAGTTACGTAACTCGTAACTTCTCGTTGGATTTTTATTTATTGCATCACAAATACATTAAATATGAGACAATATTTACATAAATTATAATTCTAGAATAAACATTTAATTATGTAGGCCTATGTATTATATCTAGAAAATAAAATATATTCTCTATTCTAATTAGACACTGAAAGCCTTCCTGCCTGATATGATCAGTATGAACCATGGTCATATTGTGACGATTTCTAGTTTGGCCGGATTCTCTGGAATAAATCGTCTTTCCGATTACTGCGCCAGTAAATCTGCTGCCATCGCTGCACACGAATCTTTACATTTTGAATTGAAAAACGATAATGTTTCGGGTATCAAGATGACATTAGTGGCACCGTTCTTCATAAATACAGGCTTATTTGAAGGAGCTGATGGGGGGTAAGTTGTTTCCTACTCTTAAACTTTTGTCATTAAACGTACACGCTATATAGCCATTAACTTTGTTTTCTTTTATATGTATCGTAACAAGCACTTTCTTAAGTTTGTAATAACTGATAACGTAAAGCACAATTTTATTTGGGAATGTATTATTATTATTTGGGAAATATATATATATATAATATCTCATCAGTAGACGAGCGGATACAACCACTGAACATTGAAATTTCGTCGTGGGTTCGCGCCTGGTCAACGGGCTGGCCACGAGCTTCTCAGGATTTCTTCACATTTGTAACACCTAATTAGGCCGTTTTCTTTAGAAAGTCTTCCCGGAAGACATCCCTGCCATAAACAAATAAACCAAATATATACAGTTACTTGTTACTTTGTATACAGTTTGATTTGATGGGACACGAAAACGCAAGACGTGTGAGATCTGTCGAAGGGAATGACTCCCGAAAATCGAAACTGTATATTCAGGACAATATTTATACCAAATTTGACTGCGATTTGACAATTAGTTTTTTTCTGTAAAAAGCCCTAAACACTACTTTAATCATTAGAGTAGGTGTTCAGATACGTGAAGATATTAAAGTGTTTGCTACTTACAGGGCCCGCTCTACGGGCGGACAACCCGGACATCATAAATGCTTGAGCTGGCGCTGGTTACTTAATTACTCTGTAAATATCGAGTTTAACAATAGAGTAATGTTCATGTGAAATATAGCCTATAAATTTAAGTAGAACAATACATAAATTTAGAATTAAATTTTGAATAGCAGTTTTGTTAATAGGTGCCAAAATTTCCTTTTAAAGAAGGGAATAAATGCGATGTTTAAATATCTTATTAGCCCACCAAAGGCGGAATGAATAAAATCACTGAACAGTAGTGATTCGTGCCTCACCGAGGTCACGTGATTTTTATTTATACCAGAGTCGGGTAAGCCTTCAACTTTATGTTTTAAAAAGCTTTTACGTATCGTTCGTTGCTGTTTGTTAGGTAATTAAAATTGCTTGTTAGTGAACACTTACAAGTATTTGTAACATTCCAGATTATAGTTTCTTCCCCACTTCAATAATTGCTTCAATTGTAGTGAGCGAGGAGTTATTGTTTAACTTATTTCTAAGAATTTATTAACGAATATACAGAATTTAGCCTAAAAGCAAGCTCACTCGCTGGACATTATTAGCAAAATTTCAAATTATGATGAATATTCTTTAATATGTTACAAGTAACTAAAATCTGAGAATAACACTCGTTTATTTTACAACCGTAACAATGCTTTCAAGTAAATATTGTTATGTGCGTACAGAGGTTTAGAGAGATTTAATGTACATTAAATCTCTCTAAACCCCTCTATCATTGGGAGAATTAAAATTCAAATAAACAATAGTTGGGATCTTGACACCTTTATTAACAGATTACTATTATTATTATGTGGTTTAGTAGGTTATACTCTATTGACACCGGTGGCTGAGTACTAGGCAGGGCTGTGGAGTCGCGTAAAAATTTACAGACTCCGACTTTTCCTTATCATCCGACTCCGACTCCGACCAGGGGCGGACTTGTTACGGAAAGAGACCCGGAAATTCTGATGTCGTCACGTGACCTCAGAATAAAATATTCAATAAATAGAGTTGTAATAAAGATAAAACGTAGAAACTTTTTATTCCAAAGCTAAAAGACTCTTCTAAGTAATATATAAATATGCATTCGATAATTTTTACTTTTCCGGTTGTTATATATAACATAGGGAAAGTGTAGCGCTCGATCAAAAAAATGACCCTTTCCAAATTTTTACATTTTTGGACTCAGGACACCTTGAAATTTCGAGATATGCAAAAGATTCGAGGTTTTTTTTCTATATGTGTGGATGTTAGACTGTGTGTGTGGGGCATGATTTTGTTCACTCTATTTGAAGCCTAATAATTTCTATGGTCAGAGTGGTCAGAATCGGAGTCAGATGGTTGAACACAAGAGTTAATTATTAAGCGTCAAAGTAGTTGAAGTAAATCGTGTCCCCATATACGTTCTAACATCTTACGTGAGAACATCTTAACGGGATTTACTGTACTATTATAAAATGACAAAAAAGTTTACTTTGAGAGTAGAGACAAATTTTATTTTATTTTTTTTTTAATTTTGAATGCTAATAACGAGTAAAACATTCATTAAAAGATATGACACGTGACCACTTTTATGTCTTCACCTGTCGACCTTTAATTAAGAACCAAAATTTAATAGTATTAATGCCCCTTTATACGCAAGCCACAGTGCCACATTTCGTTTCTTAAACTTTACCCATTCTGAGATATTGTTAAAATCTCAGAACAGAAAATAAAAAAATTAAACAAATTAGACGCCAACATACACACGCACGCGAATTTTTCCCCTTTATTGACTTTTTTGAGGGGTTCGGAAGATCTCCAAACGTGTAGATTTGCAAAAAAAAAAAAAAAAAAAAAAAAAAAAAAAAAAAAAAAAAAAAAAAAAAAAAAAAAAAAAAAAAAAAAAAAAAAAAAAAAAAAAAAAAAAAAAAAAAAAAAAAAAAAAAAAAAAAAAAAAAAAAAAAAAAAAAAAAAAAAAAAAAAAAAAAAAAAAAAAAAAAAAAAAAAAAAAAAAAAAAAAAAAAAAAAAAAAAAAAAAAAAAAAAAAAAAAAAAAAAAAAAAAAAAAAAAAAAAAAAAAAAAAAAAAAAAAAAAAAAAAAAAAAAAAAAAAAAAAAAAAAAAAAAAAAAAAAAAAAAAAAAAAAAAAAAAAAAAAAAAAAAAAAAAAAAAAAAAAAAAAAAAAAAAAAAAAAAAAAAAAAAAAAAAAAAAAAAAAAAAAAAAAAAAAAAAAAAAAAAAAAAAAAAAAAAAAAAAAAAAAAAAAAAAAAAAAAAAAAAAAAAAAAAAAAAAAAAAAAAAAAAAAAAAAAAAAAAAAAAAAAAAAAAAAAAAAAAAAAAAAAAAAAAAAAAAAAAAAAAAAAAAAAAAAAAAAAAAAAAAAAAAAAAAAAAAAAAAAAAAAAAAAAAAAAAAAAAAAAAAAAAAAAAAAAAAAAAAAAAAAAAAAAAAAAAAAAAAAAAAAAAAAAAAAAAAAAAAAAAAAAAAAAAAAAAAAAAAAAAAAAAAAAAAAAAAAAAAAAAAAAAAAAAAAAAAAAAAAAAAAAAAAAAAAAAAAAAAAAAAAAAAAAAAAAAAAAAAAAAAAAAAAAAAAAAAAAAAAAAAAAAAAAAAAAAAAAAAAAAAAAAAAAAAAAAAAAAAAAAAAAAAAAAAAAAAAAAAAAAAAAAAAAAAAAAAAAAAAAAAAAAAAAAAAAAAAAAAAAAAAAAAAAAAAAAAAAAAAAAAAAAAAAAAAAAAAAAAAAAAAAAAAAAAAAAAAAAAAAAAAAAAAAAAAAAAAAAAAAAAAAAAAAAAAAAAAAAAAAAAAAAAAAAAAAAAAAAAAAAAAAAAAAAAAAAAAAAAAAAAAAAAAAAAAAAAAAAAAAAAAAAAAAAAAAAAAAAAAAAAAAAAAAAAAAAAAAAAAAAAAAAAAAAAAAAAAAAAAAAAAAAAAAAAAAAAAAAAAAAAAAAAAAAAAAAAAAAAAAAAAAAAAAAAAAAAAAAAAAAAAAAAAAAAAAAAAAAAAAAAAAAAAAAAAAAAAAAAAAAAAAAAAAAAAAAAAAAAAAAAAAAAAAAAAAAAAAAAAAAAAAAAAAAAAAAAAAAAAAAAAAAAAAAAAAAAAAAAAAAAAAAAAAAAAAAAAAAAAAAAAAAAAAAAAAAAAAAAAAAAAAAAAAAAAAAAAAAAAAAAAAAAAAAAAAAAAAAAAAAAAAAAAAAAAAAAAAAAAAAAAAAAAAAAAAAAAAAAAAAAAAAAAAAAAAAAAAAAAAAAAAAAAAAAAAAAAAAAAAAAAAAAAAAAAAAAAAAAAAAAAAAAAAAAAAAAAAAAAAAAAAAAAAAAAAAAAAAAAAAAAAAAAAAAAAAAAAAAAAAAAAAAAAAAAAAAAAAAAAAAAAAAAAAAAAAAAAAAAAAAAAAAAAAAAAAAAAAAAAAAAAAAAAAAAAAAAAAAAAAAAAAAAAAAAAAAAAAAAAAAAAAAAAAAAAAAAAAAAAAAAAAAAAAAAAAAAAAAAAAAAAAAAAAAAAAAAAAAAAAAAAAAAAAAAAAAAAAAAAAAAAAAAAAAAAAAAAAAAAAAAAAAAAAAAAAAAAAAAAAAAAAAAAAAAAAAAAAAAAAAAAAAAAAAAAAAAAAAAAAAAAAAAAAAAAAAAAAAAAAAAAAAAAAAAAAAAAAAAAAAAAAAAAAAAAAAAAAAAAAAAAAAAAAAAAAAAAAAAAAAAAAAAAAAAAAAAAAAAAAAAAAAAAAAAAAAAAAAAAAAAAAAAAAAAAAAAAAAAAAAAAAAAAAAAAAAAAAAAAAAAAAAAAAAAAAAAAAAAAAAAAAAAAAAAAAAAAAAAAAAAAAAAAAAAAAAAAAAAAAAAAAAAAAAAAAAAAAAAAAAAAAAAAAAAAAAAAAAAAAAAAAAAAAAAAAAAAAAAAAAAAAAAAAAAAAAAAAAAAAAAAAAAAAAAAAAAAAAAAAAAAAAAAAAAAAAAAAAAAAAAAAAAAAAAAAAAAAAAAAAAAAAAAAAAAAAAAAAAAAAAAAAAAAAAAAAAAAAAAAAAAAAAAAAAAAAAAAAAAAAAAAAAAAAAAAAAAAAAAAAAAAAAAAAAAAAAAAAAAAAAAAAAAAAAAAAAAAAAAAAAAAAAAAAAAAAAAAAAAAAAAAAAAAAAAAAAAAAAAAAAAAAAAAAAAAAAAAAAAAAAAAAAAAAAAAAAAAAAAAAAAAAAAAAAAAAAAAAAAAAAAAAAAAAAAAAAAAAAAAAAAAAAAAAAAAAAAAAAAAAAAAAAAAAAAAAAAAAAAAAAAAAAAAAAAAAAAAAAAAAAAAAAAAAAAAAAAAAAAAAAAAAAAAAAAAAAAAAAAAAAAAAAAAAAAAAAAAAAAAAAAAAAAAAAAAAAAAAAAAAAAAANGGATTGATGATGATTTGTGTTAGATGTTTAGTTAGTTCCTGGTGCAGTGATGTAAACTTTTTGTACCAGAAATTGTGAATGTTGTCTACACCAGGTGTCTTCCAGTTGTGTGTTCTGTTAACAGCGTAGCGGATGTCGTGTACGTTTATTTCAGCACAGGGCACAGTTGGTATGTTGTGCAAGTTTCTGCTCTCCTCCTCGATCCAGCTTGCATGAGCATTGTGTGTAACAGCATTGGACCAATGAGAAGACCAATAAGTTGTGAGTTCTTCTTCTGTTGATGTTCCACTGTGCTGTGTATCAATGTTTGTTTCAGTACTGATTTGTCTGTAGAAAAGTTTTTCATTGTTTGTGAATAATTTATTTTGTTGTTTTCGTAGTGTACATGTTTTGTATCGTTTGAATCTACGTGCTTTGGCTGCGAGTTTTTGTTTTAGTGTATCGATGTATTTTGTAATGTGTGTGTTGTGATGTTCATGTTTTGTGTGTGTTTTGATTTTCTTGAAAATATTTTTGAGTTGTTTCTTTAATTTGGGTGTTATTTTGTTTTTAGTGTACTGTGTCAGCCTGTTTAATTGCTGTCTAATGTCATTTATTTGTGTTTCTATTCGTCTCTGCCAGGCAGGCTTGTGATAGAATTGTGTTTTGTGTGTGTTTGTCTGCAATTGTATTTTCAGTCCATGGTGTGTTACTACCGTAACTGCCCCAGCATAAACTAATGTATGAATGTCTGAGAGTGTAGAAATTGAATGAATGTAGTTTGGTAGTAAGTGAGTGTTTACATAATTTAGTGTTTTCCCTACTACCTTTGACGTGTTGATTTTGGTATTCGTGGTCTTTGTGTGGGATCTGTACCTGTATATTTAGTAAATGTTTCCTGAAATATAAGTGAGAGCGTATTAACTAAATCTTTCTCTACGTTATCAGTGATGGATGTGGAAGTGTCTGTACTATCATTAATGGTAATTGTTGTATGTGTGCTATTATCAATGCTTGTTGCTTGATTATCCTGACAGGTTACACGATCTTCATTAATGTTAAATGTTTCTGTCTGTTGATGTATTTGATCAGCAACCTGTTGTTTGATAAGTTCAAGTGTTGTTTGTGGGATAAGGTTGACGTGTATAATTGTTCTTTTTTGATCGACAACCCTTTGTTCGGTGACAGTGACGTGAGGTGAGGATATTGTTGTGTGAATCTATGGTGTAGTTGTTGTCTGTATGCTGTCATGTTTGTTTCGAGTTTTGTGATTGTGTAGTAAGTACGGATGATAAACTCATTCATTTCTGTTGTCTATTTCATCCGTTGGCATCGTTTTCCAGCCTTTGTGGTCTGTGGATGCATTGCCACAGAAACACCAAGGCTAGGTTGATTCCTCACGTCTGTTGAGGGCATTGCAGTAGCCATGCTTGGGCCGATGCTGCTTTCGCCACCGGTAACCAAGGGAGACTGTGGCCTATTTTTCGAACGTGAGCTTCTGCATATATTATTATTATTATTATTATTATGAAGAAACGATTATATGTGACTAGCAAATACTAGCAAATGAGCGGCAAATGATTCATAAAAAAAGTTTAAAGAATATACAAAGTTGGGGGTAAACTTGACTAAACTTTTATTCACATTGTCTAACATCTAAATAGAGGCCAGTTTTCCATAGAAAGTCCTCTCGGAAGATATCGGGAGATTGCCCAAATGTTGCGTTGCCTTATCTCATCTCTCCACCGAATATCCTATTTAAACACCGCAGGCATCCATATAAACAATATATAAGTTGATAAAAATTAGTATTTTTCCTTATATTTTACAACATAAAAAATATCACTAACATATTTAATGTGGATTTTAATTAATTTACGTCACATATTGTCATTTATAATTTTTCGTTTAACTTATTTACTCTACCATAATACTCAAATGTAGGGATTTGGGCTTCGGTTTTATGGATTTTAATATAAAATATTAAAATAAAAAATTGAATACGTAATTTGAGGTTTTTAAATAAATTTTAACACTCAGAAGAGTAGATATTAAGCTGGAACATATAGAAATATTGAAGAGTAATCGTAAATTTCCAGTATCTCTCGATATAACATATTTGTGTTTTATTCTTGGGTTTTATACTGATTTAATTTTATAAATTATTTTAAACATCATTTAAAAACTTAAAATGCTGTAAAATTTCAGATATTTTTCAGTCTTGACACCTGAATACGTTGCCGACGAAGTAATATCTGGTGTAAGATGCAATCAAGAGACAGTTATTCTTCCAAGTATCTTTAGCGCTATAGTCATGGTGAAAGCGTTAGTGTTTTCTGCTATTTTTAATTTAATTATTTAAAATTTTATCTAAAATATACACATATAATATATATATATTTTTTCTGTTTTGGTAGCATAATGCCTGTAACAGCATATTCTGTATACTACGAGTTATTACAAGGGTATAACTCTATGAAAAATTTTGTTGGAAGATCGAGAAAAAACAATTAATAACCTTTTGTTTTTTTTATAAATTTTACCTTTGTAAGTATTGTTTTTATATAACTGTATGATATTTCTTGCTGTTTATGTAAATATTTGTTTAAATTTTATGAAGTTTACTTGTTTTCTTTTACTAAATTGTATGTTCCAGTTCTTGCGATGTTTCTGTGAGGGGGAAAGTATGGCAATCGGTCAAATAACGACCGATTGGCATATTTTCCCTCTGTTATCTATAACAGAGCCAAGAAAGTGAAAATAGGAGTCCATGACTTCGTTTTCGATATACAAAAGTATTACAGTGACAATGTTTATGCTCTCTGATGCGACGAGCATGGACCTAACGGAATTTACGCCTAGGGATCAAAAATAAAAACAGTATTACGTGCGCCTAATGGAAAATAGGCGCGAAAACGAACATAACACAAGAGCAAAGCAATCGCCATCGATTGCTTTGTTCTTGGATTCGTTTCTCCGTACCTGGCCAGTGCAAAGATCGTGTCTCCCGTAGCCTGAAGATACGAGAGATAAGAGGCTACAAAAGAGGCTATCGAGGATAGCCTCTTTTGTGGCGGAAAGTGCAAAGTTCACCTGTCCGCGTCTGTCAGGTACTGTACAAGAATCTCCTCTTCTGTGCCTAACAGGTGCAGGGATCGCTTCTCTCCTTCCGGCTCCGCATCAATTCTATCACGAGCAACAAAGTCGCGCGATGTCCTAGTAATTATTTACTCTCAAATTTAAAATTCATTCCGTATTATAATAATGTTTAATGTTAATCCTAGTGAGCAAATAGTATAAAATTAACCTGTATCTGATGAAAATATTAAGAGACAATCCCTTGGAATTACATAATCGAAATATATGAAACCACGAATGAAATAAACTCCGCTTTTACGATCAAATTAATTCTTGTTATAAACCTAATAACCCGAATGCTGATTTTTCATAGGCTCGGTATTATAAAATGATATTTCGTTCTTGGAAATGAATAATAAGAATTACAGCATTTCTCTTAAGAAAAAAATTCATACCGATCATAAAGCAAAAATTTAATATAGCTAATTTAATATAGTTATAATTTTTTTGTTCTACTTCATTTTAATTTTATTGTTTTTAATTTTTCCTTGGAGGACTTGCATGATCATTATGGTTACGAAAGACTTCCAATGGATGAAGGCCGAATAATAAGAAATTCTCGGACAAAATTACTGAAAGTTCTAGACTTTCAACTCAGGTTTAAGCTGTTAATAGCTGCATTCCAATCCTCCCGAATTTAGCAGTTGTATTATTTTGTTTACCGTTCAGAATATTGTTCTCAAAAAGTTTACCTGAACACCATTTACACTATGTTAATTATTTTTTATTGTATCTCTTATGTACTCTGTAGAATAAAGTTTCTTCTTGTAAAATATAATCTTATGTCTCTACTACTCATTTATAATAAGCGATTATATCCACATAAAGCCTGGTACTCACATGCGGCAACGAACGACGGAAATCGTCGACGGAAACAGTTACCGTTCCGTCGTCTTTCCGTGTCGCGTGTACTCACACGAGGAAATTACCCTACAATTGAAACGCGCCATCTGCCAACCGTAAATATAAACAAGCTACTACAGTAGGTAGGCCACGTGCCAGTAGTCGAAAATTATATCAATTAAACTATATCAAACTATTTTATTTTATATAATATTTTATATTAAACTATCAGTTATATCAATTAAACTTTTTAAGTTTGCCTTCGATCTTATCGCAAATAAAAAAAAACCTCAAAAACGAATAATTTGGATAGGAAAAATATTCTAAATCGTCGAAAGTTAGGAATATCGAATACTTTCGTCGCCGAATTACGCTTACTCCATTCCCAATACTTTACGCAGTAAGTAAGTCTATTTGACATTAATATTTAAATCGGATAGTAATATAGAGTATAAATGAAATATATTAGCGTATTAGTGTACAAATAAAGCTTTTTAGCTTGCCGANTAGTGAGCGAGGAGTTATTGTTTAACTTATTTCTAAGAATTTATTAACGAATATACAGAATTTAGCCTAAAAGCAAGCTCACTCGCTGGACATTATTAGCAAAATTTCAAATTATGATGAATATTCTTTAATATGTTACAAGTAACTAAAATCTGAGAATAACACTCGTTTATTTTACAACCGTAACAATGCTTTCAAGTAAATATTGTTATGTGCGTACAGAGGTTTAGAGAGATTTAATGTACATTAAATCTCTCTAAACCCCTCTATCATTGGGAGAATTAAAATTCAAATAAACAATAGTTGGGATCTTGACACCTTTATTAACAGATTACTATTATTATTATGTGGTTTAGTAGGTTATACTCTATTGACACCGGTGGCTGAGTACTAGGCAGGGCTGTGGAGTCGCGTAAAAATTTACAGACTCCGACTTTTCCTTATCATCCGACTCCGACTCCGACCAGGGGCGGACTTGTTACGGAAAGAGACCCGGAAATTCTGATGTCATCACGTGACCTCAGAATAAAATATCCAATAAATAGAGTTGTAATAAAGATAAAACGTAGAAACTTTTTATTCCAAAGCTAAAAGACTCTTCTAAGAAATATAAATATGCATTCGATAATTTTTACTTTTCCGGTTGTTATATATAACATAGGGAAAGTGTAGCGCTCGATCAAAAAAATGACCCTTTCCAAATTTTTACATTTTTGGACTCAGGACACCTTGAAATTTCGAGATATGCAAAAGATTCGAGGTTTTTTTTCTATATGCGTGGATGTTAGACTGTGTGTGTGGGGCATGATTTTGTTCACTCAGCACATTTTTGGGTGAGTTAAATTAATTTGTTTGAACAATATGCGACAATTTTTTGTTTAACGTAAAAAAATTAGCAACACGTTTTACAGTGCCATCTTCTAAACGCATGTCATACAATTTTAATAATTAATATTATATACTGTAAAACCTGTTCAAAACGGAACCTCGATAAAACGGAAACCGGCCTAAACGGGATAAATTTTTCGGAACGGAGCGCTTTTCTTTGTTAAAAACCTGTTTAAAACGGGAAAAATATTCGTTAACATGCAATTCCGCTTTACGCAGGCTTTACTGTATTTAATTACATTGATAAATACATTTATGTTTAGCCTACTCCCTCCTTAATTATTTTTTCACTTTGGCAGAATAAAACAACAATGAAAAATAGAAAATTATGCTGTTATGAATTAAAGAAATGAAAAATAAACTACAAATTTGTATGCAATTTATTATTATAGATCACATTTTTTTTGCGAACGAAAGAAGTGTAACAATAAAATATTTTAATACGTTTCATGTAAATATATTGTACAATACAATAAACCTGTGTAAACCGCAATAGCAGGGTAATGAATATTTTTTCCGGTTTAGCAGGTTTCCTTTTTTTGACAGGTTTTCTTCCAAAAAATTCTCTCCGTTTCGAAGAAGTAAAGATCCGTGGGGTGGGGAGATAATTTTTTTTCTTATTTTATAATAATTAATAATGTAAAATTTTTTAAATAAAAATCTAATAAAAGATGACACCATACGCAATTTTAAATGTTTTTGCCGGGAAGTTACGTAACTCGTAACTTCTCGTTGGATTTTTATTTATTGCATCACAAATACATTAAATATGAGACAATATTTACATAAATTATAATTCTAGAATAAACATTTAATTATGTAGGCCTATGTATTATATCTAGAAAATAAAATATATTCTCTATTCTAATTAGACACTGAAAGCCTTCCTGCCTGATATGATCAGTATGAACCATGGTCATATTGTGACGATTTCTAGTCTGGCCGGATTCTCTGGAATAAATCGTCTTTCCGATTACTGCGCCAGTAAATCTGCTGCCATCGCTGCACACGAATCTTTACATTTTGAATTGAAAAACGATAATGTTTCGGGTATCAAGATGACATTAGTGGCACCGTTCTTCATAAATACAGGCTTATTTGAAGGAGCTGATGGGGGGTAAGTTGTTTCCTACTCTTAAACTTTTGTCATTAAACGTACACGCTATATAGCCATTAACTTTGTTTTCTTTTATATGTATCGTAACAAGCACTTTCTTAAGTTTGTAATAACTGATAACGTAAAGCACAATTTTATTTGGGAATGTATTATTATTATTTGGGAAATATATATATATATAATATCTCATCAGTAGACGAGCGGATACAACCACTGAACATTGAAATTTCGTCGTGGGTTCGCGCCTGGTCAACGGGCTGGCCACGAGCTTCTCAGGATTTCTTCACATTTGTAACACCTAATTAGGCCGTTTTCTTTAGAAAGTCTTCCCGGAAGACATCCCTGCCATAAACAAATAAACCAAATATATACAGTTACTTGTTACTTTGTATACAGTTTGATTTGATGGGACACGAAAACGCAAGACGTGTGAGATCTGTCGAAGGGAATGACTCCCGAAAATCGAAACTGTATATTCAGGACAATATTTATACCAAATTTGACTGCGATTTGACAATTAGTTTTTTTCTGTAAAAAGCCCTAAACACTACTTTAATCATTAGAGTAGGTGTTCAGATACGTGAAGATATTAAAGTGTTTGCTACTTACAGGGCCCGCTCTACGGGCGGACAACCCGGACATCATAAATGCTTGAGCTGGCGCTGGTTACTTAATTACTCTGTAAATATCGAGTTTAACAATAGAGTAATGTTCATGTGAAATATAGCCTATAAATTTAAGTAGAACAATACATAAATTTAGAATTAAATTTTGAATAGCAGTTTTGTTAATAGGTGCCAAAATTTCCTTTTAAAGAAGGGAATAAATGCGATGTTTAAATATCTTATTAGCCCACCAAAGGCGGAATGAATAAAATCACTGAACAGTAGTGATTCGTGCCTCACCGAGGTCACGTGATTTTTATTTATACCAGAGTCGGGTAAGCCTTCAACTTTATGTTTTAAAAAGCTTTTACGTATCGTTCGTTGCTGTTTGTTAGGTAATTAAAATTGCTTGTTAGTGAACACTTACAAGTATTTGTAACATTCCAGATTATAGTTTCTTCCCCACTTCAATAATTGCTTCAATTGTAGTGAGCGAGGAGTTATTGTTTAACTTATTTCTAAGAATTTATTAACGAATATACAGAATTTAGCCTAAAAGCAAGCTCACTCGCTGGACATTATTAGCAAAATTTCAAATTATGATGAATATTCTTTAATATGTTACAAGTAACTAAAATCTGAGAATAACACTCGTTTATTTTACAACCGTAACAATGCTTTCAAGTAAATATTGTTATGTGCGTACAGAGGTTTAGAGAGATTTAATGTACATTAAATCTCTCTAAACCCCTCTATCATTGGGAGAATTAAAATTCAAATAAACAATAGTTGGGATCTTGACACCTTTATTAACAGATTACTATTATTATTATGTGGTTTAGTAGGTTATACTCTATTGACACCGGTGGCTGAGTACTAGGCAGGGCTGTGGAGTCGCGTAAAAATTTACAGACTCCGACTTTTCCTTATCATCCGACTCCGACTCCGACCAGGGGCGGACTTGTTACGGAAAGAGACCCGGAAATTCTGATGTCATCACGTGACCTCAGAATAAAATATCCAATAAATAGAGTTGTAATAAAGATAAAACGTAGAAACTTTTTATTCCAAAGCTAAAAGACTCTTCTAAGAAATATAAATATGCATTCGATAATTTTTACTTTTCCGGTTGTTATATATAACATAGGGAAAGTGTAGCGCTCGATCAAAAAAATGACCCTTTCCAAATTTTTACATTTTTGGACTCAGGACACCTTGAAATTTCGAGATATGCAAAAGATTCGAGGTTTTTTTTCTATATGTGTGGATGTTAGACTGTGTGTGTGGGGCATGATTTTGTTCACTCTATTTGAAGCCTAATAATTTCTATGGTCAGAGTGGTCAGAATCGGAGTCAGATGGTTGAACACAAGAGTTAATTATTAAGCGTCAAAGTAGTT